TTGATCGATTCCTCCACAACCGGCGCGAAACCCAATCTACTCCTCGCGAATATGCTCGTCATTTGTATTTTGCAATCTACAATGAATAACGGACACTGACGGCATTTGGTTTATACCCCCGTACTTTGGACAGTCACTGCGCGAACCCTTCTTGAAGATGAGGAGGGGGACCTGTCCGAAACCTTGGAGAACATAACTTGCAGTTTGCTTATAAGCTCCATTTCTCCATCCTTTATCAGATTTGGGAAAGGCGATCAGAGCTCTGTGATGTCCCAGCACTTGAATCTCCTAGTAAATTTCCAGCTCAGAGCATGAACCAATAGGGAACAATCAGGGAGTGTGCCAAGATTACTCTGGACGAAGCTGAAACTGATGAACGGCTAAATTATACCCCAAATTGTTCAAGATATCATTGACTATGAGTCGGTGAGCCATCAGATTCACAGGTGGTTTCGTTCACTCCTGTGCTTTTCTCCCAGTAACTCAGATAGACTGGAACAGTTAAGAGGAACTTCCTAAAGCGGTAATACTTTCCACCTGTTGGATGCGTTGAAACCACCAAATTTCGCGGTTTCTTCGCAGGATTGTGTTAAATTCACGTTTGACTATGAGTCTTTTTTCACTGTGCTCACTGCTAGTCGGGGTTGATCAGTATGCACCAAGAATGCGCGGTCTCAGCCGAAATCCAGATATCACAGCCCGACATCACAGACCACGGCTGATTAAGCTATCGAGTGCAGTGCGTTCGCGATAAGCGACCAATGCTGGATAATGTTACGAAAAGGAATTGCTGCTAGTACGTTTCGAAAAGCGGTTAAGCATGCTCGTGGCGACATCCGATCGCCATCTAACCGTCACGGTATTGTACGTCCAGAACGGTTACCGAAGCACGTGGATAGCTTGACACAAACTAATGCTTGGTTGAATTCGAGGACAGTGCTTCAGTCCAATCAGTGGTGTTGTATTTAATCTCGCCATTTGTGGCTTATAATCGTGTGATTGATCGGAGTCAGTCGATAGCCGACGTGATGTACCGTCATTCCACTCGTCCGAAGTTCGTCCTGGTAAGGGATAAGCGCTGACTAGAACATAGAGCCAAAGGCGTTCCCCGCTTTCCAAGCGATTAACCTAGTCCAGAGGATCCTCCTATGTACACCTTTGTCGAAGACTACCGACTTAATCTACCACTTATATCTCCCGCTAAAGTCCTTATATCAGTCCGGATCATTTTAGGCAAGAGGTCTTGCAGCTTTTGGTATACTTTTTTAAAATTTTATCTGGGTTACAATCCGCTAATACCTATGCAAAGAAGATGAAACAAATTGTAATAATAGAGGCAACAACTGCCCTCTTTGCATAAACTAGTCTCATTGCGTTCAGTCGTTTGTTGTCTGAAATCCAGTCTAGTAGTGCGGCTTCAGTCACACCAAAAACAGCAAACTCAGGCGTAAGGGAAACTTTGTGGAACGATCACATGGGAGTATGAATCAGGCGATAGAGCTGGAATGCGAGTGTTTTGAACACAGCACACGTCGATAGCTGAGCTATCGAGTGTACTGTTGAAACAAACCTGTTGTCCTATTCGTATTACGTTGTATGTCGCTTGTTCGAAAGGGGCATCGCGCACGAACATGAGCATCGGTCGGTGGTGGATTTAACGAGACTTGGTTGCGAGCGAACAGGAGTAGGATTTCCATCAGTGGCCTTGCTGCTGCTGCTAGTACAACCGACGGAAGTTCCTGATCAATGATTTGGGCGAGACGGCAGTACTTTGAAGAGGTTTAGGAACTATGATGCAGAACTGTAGGCTATGCGGGGTTGTTGCGGGCGACTTAAGCTTGAGGGTTAGAAATGTCTTGTAATTGTATTATATGGTCAAAGTGAACACGAGACTTGTGGTTAGTAGCCAGATGTACGTTTATGATTTGCTTAACAAAAGGATAAATACCCACCTGCCCTGTCCGGCGATCTGAATTGTTGTTATATGCGTGCAATGTAATTCCTCTCAATATTAGCTCGCTTCAGCTCAACAAACACTTTCGACTCCGGTGGACTTCAGCCTTTTTAGTTCTTTTAGAATAAGACTAGTCCTGACGGACACTTGAACTGACACTGGTCATCATTAGTCTGTTTGGTAAAGGATAGTGCGTTTAATGCTACGGTGAACTTCCAACTCGCATAACTGTTCTTTAGCCAGCGCACTACTAATCACGAATCTTTTTTAAAATTTATGTTCAACAGCATCCCAGCCTTCCGGTGTTGTTACATAAATCGACATTTTGACTAGTCTGTTTTCTTTGCAAAAATTAATTTTTCTTTGTTCGTTGTAGGTGCATGATGCTTTGCGAAACTGCACGGGTTTGTTTCCGTTTGGTGCACTGGACCCGTCTGTGTTACTTACGTCCATTTTTTGTGGATGCATTACCTGTAAAACGAACATTAACTACTTATCTCTGATGAGCGGCAACAACCGAAAAGACGGTCATATTTGTCAGGTGCATAATTTCAATGACCTTGAAGTTGTACTTAAAGCCTGGCGTTTTATCTTTTACTGGACCAATTGCATGTTCACATAATGAAAATTATTATGTTTGTTTTTGACTCTATCTACCCCAGGTGATGCTTTTAATCTAGTGTCACCGGATCCCATAGGAGACGGAGCCTACAGAAGTATGTTGGCTGCAGTGCACGACGCTGGACTTCAAAATCTCAACGAGGTACGAAAGCTTGACTTTTTTCCGAACAATTTCGATCGCACTGGCTTTTAAATTCATGCATATTCAAGTAGTTAGGGCAAGTCCTTTGGTAGGTTGCTTGTTGTGTCAGTTTTGTAAAGAATCGGTAAAAAAATTACATTCGTTTTTTGCAGTCCTTAGTGTTACCACTGAGTTTATTATCAATATTAATATTATTATTATTATTTTATATGACTCGTCCGTTTCGCTTTGTTCATTTCGTTCTCCCAGAATACGGAACTACACTCGAGTTCGATTGCACATCTGTTTATTTTCCGTTAGTACAGCCATTAACCATGCACTTTCGTGCGCCGGTTTTGGTTGCCGTCTTTTGGCTGTCCATTTAGACGAGCATTAGTAGAAAGGTAGGAAGGATGAAGATAGAGTCGAACAGGAAATTGAGAACTCCAGTAAACTATGGTTGCAAAGAAGATGCCTGAACGACACTGTTTACGACATCCAGCCATATCACTCATTGTCTCTAACCACCGATGACCGTGATTTCAGGGTCCCCATCCAGGGAGCCTAACGGGGCCTATGTGGTGTAGTCTCTTGGTTACGGTTTTCATACCGCCGTGCCAGCTTGACCACTGTTGACTTTATTCCACCCACTATCTGCCTCGGCGAACATCGCGCGGCGTGGCAATCTATTTGGTGACCTGCGTAACATATGCTCCAACCAACGTAATCTATGTCTGCTTCTAGACTCCGAATGCTGAGCCAGACGCATTCCGGTTCACCGAACAAGTTAGTAGTTGAAAAATGTTAATTTTTATTGCAACGATAACGTGCGTTCGAATCCAACCAGAATTGTGCATCTAAATAAGATACATACGTTGATGTCACAAAACTGATGTCATTACGGTGGCTTGCACGTCAGGCAACTCAATTTGACCTTCCTCTGTTCGCCTCTGACCTGCCTGCCTGTGCTCCCAGCTTTTTGGCTTCCCCGATCCCTCATCTCTGCCACTTCGTGCACCAAACTGGGGCGAACTTGCGGCCAATTTTCCAACCTGAGGAGCGGGGCTGGTCGAAAGATTTGCAATACGTTCAAGTTGTCTAATCTATTGCGTCTCACCCGTTTGACACTACTTTCTGGCGATATGAAGTGACAATCTGCTAGTTATTAATATGCCTTTTTATCACGGAATTCTCGCGCGTACTACTCGAGCGACAGCACATGATACTTTCACCATTACGCTAATCAAACTAGATATAAATACGAAATGGGCTTTTGGGATAATCGTTTACTTCCATGTAAACATTTTCAAGGTGTGATAATCTGTCACAAACCCACCGTCGTCCCAAATTCATAAACTTTCGTATTACGCCGTATGGTTGTCTCCAAGTCAATTTTGAGGCGATCCTCGAGGAATTTCAGCTCTCACAGATTTCTCTTTAATTCCTTTAGAAATATCATACTTTGATAGGGAAGAAATTCTATTTTTCCTTTCAAACGGGACTAGTTCGCGTCAAAAGAGGTTCCTATCGCACCATCCGGCTCGTTTGAACGTTTGACCTGAATGTCAAGGTCACCAATGGTCGACCCAAAAATGTACCTAAGAAGATGAGTTTGTGTTCTGAACCATCTAAGGTGTGAGTTATATAGGTAAACTCGCCTGAAGGTCTGTTTTCATTCTGCTTTTGTTGAGTATCAGGGATCGTATCTCGCTGAGCGTCTCATTGATCTCACTCGATTAGTATCGTTTCCTATGGGGGGCCGCAACAGTGTAAAGGAATAATCTGTTCTGATTACAACTGCACTGAGATACCTGGAAAGAATGTAATTGAAGACCAATACAGATCACAAAACTTTTTGGCCTAATTTGCAGAAACTCTGTAGCTCACATATTAACTCGTGTCTCAACGTTGAAGAACTTGACTGTCAATTCACTGCCGTGCCGACCTCAAGCTCTCTTTCTTCTCCTTTTCCAACCTGTCGATCATGCAACTAACTCTGTTTCTCCTTATAGCCTTGACCATATTTTGAGGGGACTAGAGGGTAATATTGCTCATGATCGTGATCCAATAACATTCTACTTGTCCACACCATGGACGGAGCAGTCTGCATTGTTCAGCACGTGTTTGTCATCCGAGGCGATCCCCGGTTGTCAGTGAGCCCAAATGAAACCAATTTCCTCTAAATGAGGTTGTTCGAAATACCATCCTATTCACTGCTCATCTGTATTGCGAAAAAATGTTAAAAATGTCTGCTGCACCGCATGTGTGTAACTCTTATGATACCCTCCAGCGTGCATACGAATCCAGTCTGTCTGCACTTACTGCTGTTGCCCATAATGTGTGTTCTATCATACCTGTCTTAGACAGGTACTGCTCGTTCGACTTTCATAGATTGCGCAATCGCTTCTGGTTCTCTCCATTGAGGAGTAAAAGTTTGTCTGAATGTGGTCTAACATCCGGATTTCTAAGGTTATTTTCTTCTACTACTCCCTTAGGACTCTAATTACTTCAAGTAATGCCACAGAATCCTTCAAGTCAAGTCAAGGAATCGCATTATGCACGCCGAGGGGTGGATGTTCCGCAAGCCGCATAACCACAGTGTGTGAAGAACAACAAAAATGCCAAATATGATACAACAATTGAAAGAAGTGGAACGGACAGTAACATCATAAGAACAATGGCACATAATGGTGTTTATCATTGATTTAAATTAACATTTGGCCCAGATTTTCTGCAACGAGTTCATTCATGTTTTGAGAAGAATCTGGCGGGATACGGGAGAATAAAGTGTCTGTTAGCCTCAGTGCGTGACTTTATAATTTTATGACTGAGGCGGGTGGACGCATAAGAAAGACACAGACTAAGAGCAGGATATAAGGGATGGAAACAATCGGACAAAATCGTCTTGGGCGATGTTTTACAGGACTTGGGATGGTGTGCCACCGCATACAGTAGCGGATGTTCTCGTAGTATAAGACTAATACGCTTGAGGGATCGTAAAATGAGTTTGTGGTCTTTGTTCAAAAGGTCGGGGAAGATAACCGGAAACCTTTAATGCCAGTGGGGCACAATGCCTTATGAGACAATTTGGGATAGAAAGTGTTTTAAGACGTGAGTCTCTTGACCTTCAGAAAAATGTCATTGACGTGGTCACACCAGGTAAGACTGCGGTTGAAAATAACACCAAGGTATTTGAAAGACGATTGTCGATCCATATGGTCGTTTAAGATAGATAATGGTGGCCTGGCGTTCGACAATTCATTATACTTTTAACCGTTTAAAAGGGGAAAATATTACATCATTACGTTTGGCGGAGGGATTCATACGGTAGTTGTTGAGAACACTCCACTATTTCTAACATGTCATCTTGGAGATTGGTCTGAGATGATGGGTCGTCCAAATACCGTCTGCATACTTAATAAGAGAAGAATTGCTCACAGGTATAGAGAAAATGTAAACATGAAGTGGAAAAGGGGATAAATGGCACCTTGCAGTACACCTTGTTAGGAGGACAACAGTGAAGATGTACGACCTTTGAAGCGTGGAAACTGCTGACGATTGGAAAAATGATTATCCAAGAGTTTAATCCTAGGAGGTTCAGCGCTAATTAAAGAGAGGCTGTTTAGCAATATTTGCCTATCAATCGCGTTGAAGGCACCACTGTTGTTTGGAAAACATACGGAGAGTCTGGCTTTTCTTATCCAGGTTAGACAAAACAAAGTGGGAGAGATGAGCAAGGGCATTCAGGGTACTTGCGAATTGGTGTATGTAAACTGGTGTGGGTCAATAACATTGAACTTTGTTGATGAGGCTCTAATTAGGAGCCTCTCAAACACATTGAAAACAACTGAGGTGCAGGCAGTGGAACGCAATTTTTTCGGTACTGGGGTAATTGAGGCTATTCTGCAGCAGTTGAGAATACTTTGCTGTCAAATACAATTGTGGAGAAGTTCACATTGTACAGGGTAAAGGAAGGTGGCACATTCTTTCAGGACAACAGTGAAGCTGCATCAGGGTAACCGGACCTGCAAGGATTTGTCGGGTTAACTCATGATAAATTTCGGCTGGGGGCAACGCTAAATCGGTCATGTTCATATCATCCCTATTAGGTAGGGCATAGAATGAGGTTCTGTTTGTGATAAAGCTGTGATTCAGACCCTCCATTATCACAGCAGTAAATATTAATTCTGTTTTTGTTTCAGGGTGTTATTCTGGCCCTTTTATTTTTTCCGTTTATTATTTCCGTTCCTCGTAACTGTGCTGCTTGCACTTATGTAAAGGAAGTTGTGATTGATTGCCCATCCCCCATTTCAGGTAGATTTATCCTTCTCTAGGACAGTCCTAATGAATTTCGCGATTGGTTTGTGCCCCGACCCGCTGTATTTAGCATTAACAAATGCATCCATATTCCCTTTAGACTCACTACTGACCTTGGTTATCTTCCATTGGTGAGCACTCTCTCTCTCTCTGATTTTATAGTAAATAATCCAAGCATCCTCGTATCCGATTTTTATGAAGTAGCTCAGTGTCACTCTCATCCTTAACCTGTTCTGATCTGCTCGTTTTGATAGTGTTTTTACTGTAGTTCGTGGATTGTCCTCTTATGCATACAAACTCAACAAACAGATCGTTCTGCACAATCTTTTTCTCAAATTCATAATCGCTTGCATACTTCTACACCTCGTTCTCTCCGATTCTAAACAAAACTTCTCACCCCGTTCTTTAAATCCCTTACTCGTTTGTCTTGATACAGTGGAATTGAGAATGGTTTTGGTTGAGTTTTTATTAACAAGCATTTTGAAACTTGTGATAAGTTTTTGACAGGATAACACGCGAATAAAGGTGTTGTCTGCATTCCGGAGTCACGGAAATTGTCAGATTCTCGAACCCGCTCCAAATACTAAACTGCTTTCTACACTTACATCCGCAGGCACAAAACGGTGTCATACTCGTTTCTTGGTTAATCGTATGACATTTGTCACTCATCTTAACGGAGTACCGCCTCCAGAATTTTTCTCTCTCTTGTAATTCAGTATCTGTTTAGTTCTGTCTTTTGTTGACTAGTGACAACGCAATGCACAAACGTGTGCACTAGATATGTCATCCACTGCACAAGTTTGTACATTGCTGANAACTACACCATTTCGGGTGCACAAAGCGTTTCTTGCCTTGACTTTCCTCTGCATATCTGAACCGGTCTAAACATTGAGTGCGTTTCATTTCTGGAAAGTTTTTATGAAAACAAAAATCAACACCATCCAAATACCTTTGGGATTTGACTGCATTTCCAGATCAACACTTTTCGTAATTTCTTCACTCGAACTTCTTTTTTCCCCAGGTGGGTCACATCAATTGCCATGCTACTTCAACACCCTTGGGTGACGCTGTCGAGCTAGCGGCTATTTCTCGGCTTATGCACCATCACAGAACCCGTTCACGTGAACCGATCAAATCACCAATTGCAATTAATTCAATCAAGGGGCACTTGGGGCACTGTTTGGCCGCTGCGGGTGCCGTGGAAACTGTGTATACGGCTCTGTCTGTATCACGTGGTTACGTAGCCGGTACACGCAATCTGCACGAACACCTTCCTTTCAGTGAAATCGCTGATCTTTTCGCCGAACAGAAAATCGATGATGCGCAAGCCTATGCCGACACGTTACGAAATTGTTGCGTCCTCCCCGGTCACAACCAGCCCCAACTTGTCTTCCCGCATGCCCCGTCGCCCGAAGAAACTCGTCGACTGGCACTCACTAATTCGTTTGGCTTTGGCGGCACGAATGCGTCGTTAATTTTGTCCGAATGGAACGAACAATGATTTTTGATACCCATAGATTTCATACACATTTTCGCTTTTCTCAACTGGTCCCTACATTTCTACTTCTTCACGATCATTGTAGAGTCAATCGATGATTATTCCCATTATCACAATACCTCACATCTTTTGAATCTTTTGAACCTGGAACGTGCAGATAACGACGTATTTCATCCATTTAGCATTTTTATTCGATTTACTGATCGGCTACGAGTGGAAGAGTTTTCCCGTGAGGTGCTAAGTATTGAAATTTTGCAAATATCTGGACAAAATTTGCGTACTTAAGTAAGCTAATTAAAATCACTCGCGCACCAAACCGGCCTGTAGCTATGACTCATTTCGATGAATGCGGCTAGATCATAATGCAGAAAAACGTTTTCATCCACCGAATTTTTCCGGGAAACCGGTGAAAGGTATACGTCCCTAATTCCAATGAGCGAATTCCTCAAAGCTAAACCAGTCATTTGACTGGATGTTTATATCCGTCGCTTCATACTTTGAGCACATACTCCTTTGTCATGTTCAGCAAGGACTGTCGTACGATTCCATAATGCCCTTGTCTTTTAATGTGGAAGAGTGAGGCTTTTGCAAATTGGTGATGATTAATCCTTGAGGTGGTCAAGTATCTAGCGTTGCTGCTAATCACAAAATATCAAGTTCAGAATAATATAATTGTAAATGGCTGGTAACATTTTCATTGCAAATGTGAACATACACTGAAGTTGAAACATTTATTTCCCGAGATAAACTTGAAGAGAGAGCGGGGTCTTCGCGATTGGCCGCGTGGTCCGTTACATCATCGGACTCGGAACTACACAATCACTCTTCACTAGATTTTATCTGGAATACACGTCCTTTATTGTCATAGAAACGTTGTGCAATTATGGTAATCCTAGGTTCGGTGAAATACTCTGCCGACTTTATGAAGCAACTTCGAATTTCCGACTACTGGATTTTATCTTCCTTTGGCAAATCGGTTCGTAACAGAGAGAGAGAAGAATTTACGGAAATCTCAAAGATTCCCAGAAAACATCGAGCTGGATGGTAGGGCGCACTATGCAAACGATCAGTTTCACACATCTGTATTCCAGTGGAAATGTGCACTCCCTGCTTGATAATGTGGCAGAAGTAATAGATCTGACAAGGCGACGTGAATATTGAAAGTTTGGAGTCGTAATGCTTTAGGAGAGCTGGCTCCACAACGAAATAGATGATAATGTGGTCAAAATTGACAGTATTTCCATCTACCGAGTTGACCAACCCGTTCTGGTTCACAAACGAGACGGTGGTGTTATCACATACATAAAAGACAACTGGTGCCAATTGGGTAAACGAGTCTTTATGCATTCTATCATTTTTATCAGTACTTCACTGTACAAATGAGGACCTGAAACCCTCAGTAACCAGCAAAACAGTATTTGTGGTAA